GAACACCACTGGTGGCATTTCAGTGACTTATAGCAGCAGCAGGGCATGGTCTGCTTCCCAGCAATCTACCTCATGGTGTGTTTTGGGACCTTACTGTCCCCCTGAAAAGTAAGCTACTTGGATTTGCTCACCAAATTATTGTGACTAAAACTTATAGGTTGCATTAATACAACCCAAACCAAAAACCAAACTCACTGCCACTGAGTCGATTCTGACTCCTAGCAACCCTATAGGAGAGAGTAGAACTTCCCTGTAAGGTTTCCAAGTCTGTAAATCTTTACAGAAGCAGACTGTCTCATCTTTCTCCCACAGACTGGCTGGTGGGTTTGAACCACCAATCTTTTGGTTAGCAGCCGAATGCCTAACCACTGTGCCACCGGAGCTCACTTAATGCAACCTATGGCCTTGTTTATGTCAAATCATACTATGTATGATTATGTACTGTGAGCGCTCTATGAACTAATAAAATAGAAACATGCTTACTTGTGGGCAAAATGGAACAAGTGAGACAAAAATCAGAATAAACGACTGAGGGGCTGGTCATCAAGTAGTTCTTACTGAGAAGCATTGAACACGTGATTCAGGTTTCCATGTGCGAGGTCCCTTTAACAGCATCAACTTGTGTCGTATGCCCCTGACTGCACTGCAGTTGTTTAAATCCGAAAACCCAGACATTCCCAAGCCAGGCCCCTGGACTCCTACTGCTTAGAGCCTTTCTGTTTACATTTGCTACTATAGAGATTTGGTTTGTTTCCGAAAGATGCATTTGAATGTTTGTGGTGAGCCACATTTGTTATATTTGAACCATCTATGACGCACAGGAGAGGGGTAACCACTTGGTTTAGAGGGGGAACGGCCACTCATGGGGTTAGCAGAGGTACTTTGTGCCAAGTTAAAATGAGCTCGTTCGATGATGGTAGGAATAACAATGTGTGTATACATACACACATATGCAGTTTCATATAGCCGGAAACTATATGGGTACAGAGATAGATGGATGGACAGATGGGTGGATGGTATTGATGGATAGATAGGCACTTTGGAGTCAGCTCTGACTTGTGATGACTTTTGTGCAAGCCAGTCCTGTGTCAATCTCAAGATTGCTGGCCCGTTTGAGCTCATTGTTAAGGCTCTGTGCGAATCAGTCTCCCCTCGCCCTCACTGACCCTCTGTTTCACCAAACATCATGTCCCCCTCTGATGATTGATCCTCTCTGATGACGTGTCCAAAGCCAACAAGTCAGACAGCATTCTGTTCTGATCCATGGGTCTTCTTTTTCTTACCTTGTGATTTGGGTGAAAATTTACAGGGCAGATTGGTTTTCCATTCAGCCATTCAGACACATTTTGCCTGTGACATTCACTGCACTCCCCACGATGCACTAGCGCTCTTCTCACGTTCTTCCCATGTTTACCGTTTCCCTTTGCCTTTTCCTGTCCCTTCCTCCTCCTCAGCTTCACCCCTGCGCAAATGCTGCCTTTTGATCTCATGTGGCTGATTGTTCTAATGAATGTGTATCTTCCTGGTATTATTGTTCACTTTATAGGCTTGTCTATCATTTGGCTGAATTAAGCCGCAGGAGTGAGTTCAATACCCGGCTTGTCCATAAGGTTTTTGTTTGGCTAATTTTCAGGAATAGATTTCCAGGCTTTTCCTCCTTGTCTGCCTTAGTATGGTAGCTCTGCTGAAACCTGCCCACCATGGAGGAACCTGCTGGTATTTGAATTACGGGTAATATAGCTTCCGGCATCACAGTGTGGATATAAACTTAATAAGCTGGGAAATGCTAATTTCTAGTCTTAAACATCAAAAGGAAGTGCTGTCTAAGAGATTGTATGGCTGTCACTTTGGAATTGGATTGTATACAACTCTCAAGTGACCTGGAAGTGCTTCCACGACCAGGTTGCGTTTGAGTCTTGTTATCCCTTCAGTTATGTGAACTGTGAGGCACTAAACAGAGAAAGTAGAGAAAGAGCTTCAAGTAACAGCACAGTGATTCATAAATTAATAACACAGGTGGAAAAGTAAGGTCCAGAGAGGCTGATTTGCTCGTGGTCCACAATGAATTAATCCTTTTGTTCAATAAACATATTTGGTACATATAGGTGTCTTAGTTATCTATTGATCCCATGATAAATTACCCCCAAAATTCACTGGCTTACAACAACACATATTTATAGTCTTGAACTTGCTGTGGGTCAGGAATCTGGGCATAACTTAGCTGGGTCTCTGCTTCACAGTTTCTCACAAGCCTGCAATTGAGATGTCAGCCAGGGCTTGGGTCATGTCTGAAGGCTCGACTCAGGAAAGATCCACCTCCAAGTTCACGTCGTTGTTGTCAGGATTCACTTCCTTGTGGACTGTTGGACTGAGAGGCTCAGTGTCTTGCTGGCTATTGGCTGCAGGCTGTCTTCAACCCCTTGCCACATGGCCTCTCCAGCATGACATATTGCTTCATCGAGTACACAAGCCAAGAAAGCAATGGAGAGAGTCTGCTAACAAGACAGAAGTCACATTCTCTTGTAACCTAATCAGGGAAGAAACATCTCATGTACTTTGCCACTCTCTATTGGTCAGAAGCAAGTTACTAATCCAGGCAACACTCAAGGAGGAGAGCATTACACATGGCCATGAGTATCAGAGATGGGGATCTGTCTCAGTTATCTGGACAATACCCCAAGTGGATGGCTTTAACAAACTTATTCTCTCACAGCTCAGGAGCTACAAGTCCGAGTTCAAGGTGCCAGCTCCAAGAAAAGGCTTTCTGTCTCTGTTGGCTCACAGTTTAGGAGGAAAGTCCTCATCTCCTTTCAGCGTCCATGGGCCCAGTGTTCCTTAGAAATCTCCATGAGTCTTGGCGTTAGTCTTCCCCCGAATCTAGGAGATTCCCAGTACAGGGACCCTGAGTCCAAAGGACGAGCTCCAATCCCGGCTCTTCTTTCCTGGTGGTAGTGGGTCCTTCCTCTCTCTGCTGCTGCTCCCTCATTTCATCACTTGTAAGATAAGAGATGATGCAGGCCTCACCCCAGGGAAATTCCCCTTACATTGGCTCAGAGCTATGACCTGAGTTAGGGTGTTGTGGCCCAGTCTAATCCCCTTACAACAGACCAGGGCTGTGACCTGAGTAAGGGAGTTGTGTCCTAAACCCCTTACATCAGACCAGGGCTGAGCACATTAGATCATATTGTGAGGGATGATTACATGATTACATAACTACCACATTGTCTAGTTACATAACTACCAAACCACTAAGGATCATGGTCCAGCCAAGCCAACCCATTATTTGGGGTGGGGAGCGGGGCGGACACAATTTAATCCGTGACAGGATCATTGAGGGCCATCTTTGAAAGCTGTCTACCTCAGTTGGTGCATACATTCAGGTTTCTTCATTCTCGTGCAGGTTTTTCTACTAGATGAAGCCATCTGACTGTATGGTTGTGTGACACTAGTGTGCTCCTTGTGATAGGCTGAGTAATGGCTCCCAGAGCTGTCCATGTCATAATCCCCACAACGTGTGGCTCTGTTACCTTATGTGATGAAAAAGACATTGCAGATGAAGTTCAGTTAGCTGATCCACTGATCTTGACAGGAAGCAAGGATCCTGGATTGTGCAGGTAGACCCGGTGTAATCACAAGAGTCCTCATAAGAAAGAATGAAAACCGAGGGCCTGGAAGACCATGCGATCCTCAGTCTATGTGACCATGAGACCAGAACTAGATGGTGCCCAGTTACTACTGTCAACCACTAGGAGGGGAATTAGTGCAAGAGATCCTACATAGGGTGGGAGAGCAAGGTAGAACAAAACTCAAAATAATTTAAAAACAAAACAAAACAAAAACAGGTTTGCTGGTCTGATAGTGCCTGGTGAAAGCCTGAAAGCCTGAGATTGGCCCTTAGCTGCCCTACGTCTGGAAT